TTTTTTTTTTCTCGCTTACTGTAGCCAAGGACAGGGGTTTTGAATCGTATTATAAGCGGCAAAGAGAAAGCGAACTATAAGCGAGATCACAGAGAATGGGCAATTTTGGGTTGTATTTTTTCGCAGAATTAAAATCCATTCCATTTGGGAATTTTGAGCTGATCGGAGAGCTGATCCACTGATTCGTGTTGATTTTATCTGATGTGTATTCAAATATTTAATTGTTGAAGTCAGTGTTCATACCTCTTATGGAAGAACATTCAATTGTTTCAATCATCTGTCAGCCGTTGCTGCATTCGTTCTTTGCCACGGAATGAATGATCGATCATCGGATTCCTGCCGCTATCATCGCGAATCTCTTTTTAATGTTTCCTCCTCATCAGACCGGAAATCAGTGGTGTTTTCAACCCAAAAACCAGATCAGTTTTCATCAGTCTGCCTTTTGGATGGTCACTGCCATTCAACTGGTGTCTCAAAATTCATCTGTGGAATTCGGCTATGCAAAAATGTCAAATTCCTCGTGAAAGTGATCAATGGGAATCAAAACTTTCTAATTCATTTAATTTTTATTTACCAATTGCTTGCGGCCATACAATGTTGATGAACTGATGAACTATCTCGTTGTGTTGTGATGAGCAGTTGAACTTTTGACTTATCAAGCGCGTTGAAACTTATCATTCCCAGGTACTGTTTCAATTCATATCAATTGTTTATTTTTGAGTCTTCCGTTCAGTCGGATTATGCATTGTTGATCTTTCTTTTCTTGTGTATTTTGTGTTTAATGACTGTTTTTTGATTTGATGTTTGCACTGATGATTTTGATTGATGCCAATATTGATCTCATAAATCATTGCTTTGCAATTATTTCCGTATTATTCACCGTGTACATATCCATATCGTCATAGTTGTCCTCAGTTTTTGAGTCACAGTTGCGCACTCTCACGGAAAGTCTCTTCGTTCGATCAACTATGACGAGAGAAGGACTCATCGGAAGCAAAAGTTCGGTGATAATTCAGTCGAAATGCGCCCAATTCCTCACGTGTTCGAAATCGCAATTCGTGTTTTTGCGTTTTTACACGATCCAACACTCTCAGTCACACTCGACGAGTTTTATCGAGCAACTGTGTTTAATTTTTGCAACTATGCGTTCTTATGCTGGCCGTTTACATTGTAACATTTTATAATGAGCAGTTTTTGCGTTATCTTTTTGAATGTGGTTGATACGATGTGACTGATGCCGGTCGACCTCAGTGCTAAAATTTACGTTAGTGGTGATTCGCTTATCACTCACCATCACTTCCACGCAGGGAATAACCCATTTGCAGCAGTGAATTCTACTTGGATTTATACTTTTCATCCACAATCCACTTGAAGTCAGCAAATCTGAGGTAGAGCTAGTTGTGGCAAAACTTATATTTAGAGCACAATCATACGAATTGTGACACTGCAGAGTTCGTGGCTGAGAGATGATACGTGAAGGTTTAAATTGCAAATTGACTATTCGATTCGACCAAGGTTTCATTGTTCGGGAAATTTCAATTTTCAATGAAAATTGCTTTGTTCTTCACAGAAACATCGCTTCCGCCTAATCTAATTGAACATTTCTGTTATTTATTGATTTGAATATGTTTATTTCGCCAGTATTTTTTCTGATGTTTTGTTTGTTTTCGTTTGTGTTTATGAACATTATCGCTGTCATAATGTATTGAAGCAATAAAAATTTATTACCGTTGGGCGTTCTTTTAATATACTGCTGACATGAATCGTTTCACACTTCTACAAATTCTAATGCGGCCGCTTTTTGGAGATGTCATTGGTTGTGCGAAAGAAATTCGATGAAATTCTATTCTGCAGCGCCTCTCCATGACCGAGAGCGTGCTCAACAGTGCATCTAATTAAAATTGAGTGCAAAAGCGCATTTCGAAGCACATCTGTTCATGCTGTTGTGTTCTATTGTGTTTCTCATGTGAGGTGTTAAGTGCTGCGATTCGTTAGATATCCAACCCAACACATTCAGTTCGGAGCCTAAATTAGCGATCTCATAAAGGAAATGTTTCATCGTTAGCGTTTGATTGCACCTACACACCAATGACTAGTGGCACATGTAATCAACGTAAGGCGAATGACACTCCGTATTTATCACTTCGTTTTCTTTGCTCACAGCGCAATTCTGCATTGTTTTTGGTTATTCTGAATGTCATAGTACGTCTGATGTTGTCAATGGTGTGCAATGGAAACAACATAAATGGGAAAAATGTTTAATAGATACCGAATTTTTGAAAATTCCTATTCGATCATCAATTTTCCAGCGCCTCAAATACTGTTGTCAACTTTTGTCAATATATTTTTGAGAAGTTCATCTATCGAGTTTATGGGAATGTTCAGAACATTCAAGCTAGGCATGTTGATGTTATTATTGTCTATTGATTTGCGCAGTACTTGCGATCAATTCAGTTGGTAATCAATTACAACATTCCCATTCGAGACGAAACATTTCTATGAAGACTGTAGCCAATTCAACTTGAGTGAGCTTGTTGATTAGATTGCACGTTTGAGGTAGTTTTGCTTGGTTTGCTCAACGCAAGTAGCGTTTTTATGTGGCATTTGACCTATTTTGATCAACTCCCAGCAGTTTCGCTCGTCTCAAAGTGATGCGAGACTCATTTGGAGGAATCGCTTATCAGTTGGAGGACACGCCCGAAAAAACATTAACACCCATCTAATCCAGTCCTCGGCCGATAGTTTTGCCCTTTAGTGACCTAATTGAATTGACGCGACTATTCTTGACTAACCATCCCATTGAAAACAGCTGCTCGATTCGTAACAGCTTCCATAATTCAGTATTCTACAGCTTCTGGAACGCTCCATTGTAAAGTCAGAGCAGTTTATTCTGGTGATCTTACGAGAAAGCGTCCTATTGGATTCGTTATGTTCAATTGATATTCTCAACGCGATCTGAATTGCTAGTTTTTCCGTCAAGTTGTTAGACTGAATAGCGCAAAAGAAATGCATGAGCGATTTCTGCGTCCAATGCGATGAGATTATTCGTTTTCCGTTAATTTTGGAAACTCTTTCTCTCTCTATTTTCTTTCGATACAGTTGCGATTGTTTCTTTTTCCAGTTGAATATTAGTACTATATCAATAGCTCTAAGTTATCGAGATTTAACTAGGCTATGATTTGCCTTTTAGATGCTGATAACAGCAATGGTGATAATGAGCAGTTCGGGAATGACTGCATCTGATGCTTAATGCTGACAATAAATTGCGCGCACTCTGTGCAAAACCCACAAGAATATTTTTTTCAACGATTTCCGGATTAGAGGAATTTTCAGTGTTGCAAAATCATATTCTCTATTTTCTCATTATTCCTGAAAATGTTCTCTTCAACTGATTACATGCCGAATGTGCGTCACTTAATCGCAAGTGGTAATTTGATAAATGCCTTTATTTATTTTATCATTACTCAATCGGTAGTGAATGATTAAATGTCCTCTGTCATTTTCAAGAACTGATTCGGGATTAAATAAATGAATTCGTGTATTATGAATGAATGTTATAAAGTTCTTCAGCCGTAATTTCTGTCCAGTTCTCCTTGCAAGTATTACTCACCGTACTCACTGTATGACCAATAAGGTTTCTGGGATAAATCTTTCGAGATGTAGTAATGGCTCAAGTCTGTCGTACCCTCCCTCAACTGATCGTTCAAAACTCTCACGACATTTTGTTCATTGCGCAAAAGTCAACGATTGAAATTTGACTGATGATGAGATCTATAATGTGTATGCTTAAAGCTACAGCTATACACTCAGAAGCCAATCACTAAACTAGCAAACTCATCAAATTTGCATAATGTCAGCAATAATCATTCAACTGAAGGCTTCTTTCACTCTAACGTATATTAATATCGAATAAATGAATAAAATCCTCCATGTTAACTTCTTCCTATTGCTGGTGATGCAAGAGAAAGCACGAGAAAATGTGTATGTGTGCTGTA